AAACCATTCGAATATTTAAGAATATTCCATGGTTCTCCCGGTGCTGGGGGTTCCAGGTGTGGGCAGGCTGTGTTTGAGCAGAGTGAGGATTTCTCCACATCCCAGAACTCCTGGAAAAATCCTTTCCATGGCTCTGCTCTCCAGAATATCCCAGTGAGAACCTCCAGGATTCCTTTCCTCACTCTGGAGCTGGGGAAACTGAGGCTGGGCGAGGCACAAGCCCCACTTTGGGGTTTTTTTCTTGTCCCTTTGGGTTTTCCAAGTCCCCAAAGCTTCCCTGGCTCCATCTCATCTCATCCCAACCCATCCCACAGCACAAGGCTGGGCTAAGGAAAACTGGATTTTTTTTTTTTCCTTTTTTCCCCCCCCCCGGTTTCCTTTATTTATTCTTTTCGTCTTTGAGCCCTAAACATTTGGGCTTTGTTTGGGTTTTCGGGGCTGGGCCCTCCCTTGTCCTGGAAAGGGCCCCAAACCAAAACCAAACAAACCCTGATCCCTGCAGGGGCCGTTCCTGGAGGGATGATCCCCGTGGGTCCTTTCCAATTGGGAATATTCCACGGTTCTGAGTGTATGGGAACTCAAAAGCTGAATTTCGAGGGGAAAAATCTGATTTTTCAGGCGTTTTCCCCTCGTGAAATGGCCCCAAAATCGTGGTGGGAAGGGGCTGTGCTTCCCTGGGAGGAACATTCCAGGGAACAGGGAATGTCCTCCCTGCTTCCCACAGGAGCCAGGCTCCATCTCCCTTCAAAATTCCAGAATCCCACACTGGTTTGGGTGGGAAGGGACCTTAAATTTCTTCCTGATGGGAGTTTTTAGGGGGGTGGGAGATGAAGGAAGGGTTAATCCTTGAAGGATTCTGTTGGGCTCTGCAATCCTGGGTTTATCCTACCAGGATTTTTCCTGGAGAAGGAGGCCCAGCAAACATCTTGGACTCCAAAGTGATTTCGCTGGAATCTGCTTTGGTTATTTACAGGAACATCTTTCCCTCCCATCCTGCCCTGCCCTCCTGCAGCAGAGGGGGGGGATAATTCCCCACCATCCATCACCTGGAATGAAGGAAAACCTTTTGGAGTGCCAGAGCCTTTGAAGAAAACCACCTGGACACCCTCAAGTCCAGCCTGTTTAAAGCTCAGCACAAACTGTCGGCGCAGGTTGAACGGGATTTATTTCTGGCAAATCCTCCAGAATCCAACGCATCCAACAGCTCCCAAAATTCCCAAGAGACCCAAACATTCGTCTCCTTTCCCTCTCCTGCTCCCCACAGCCTCGGGAAGGAGGCCCAGAGGTCTCTCTGTGGTCAGAACACAGCAGCTGCAGCTTCTAAACTGAGCCTAAACCCTTGTTTTGTTAAACCCGACCTAAACAAAGCATCCAGGCTGCGGTTTCTGCACCAGGAATTCAAAAATCCCCCCTCTCTCTCTCCAGTGCTGGCTGCCCGTGTTGTTAAAGGGAGTTTTTGGGGTTTATTTTTAAAATTAATAAGATTTCGGGTCAGGGTGGAGGGAGCTGGAGCAGCCTGGGATGGTGGAAATTGTTCCTGTTTTTGGGCTGGATGAGCTTCAAGGTCCTTCCCAAGCCAAACCATTCCGTGGTTATTTGAGGAAGAAATTATTATTCCCTGGTTATTATGAGAGGAAGAGGCTGGTTCCAACTTCCAGCTGCTTCTCCCCTCCCCGTGCTCCTCCATCACCGAATCCTCTCTGTTTCAACATTCCATCAAACCTCTTGGATTTTTTTTTTTTTTTTTGTGGTGTGCTGACCCGGTCTCCCAGGGCAGGATGGGATTTCAGGATTGGGAATGGGATTTTTTTTTGGGTGTGTCCCTCTCTGACCTCTCCAATCCCCACAGGACCGTCCTTGTCCTCTCAGTCCCATGGGATTGAGCTCAGCTTTGGGACTCCTGTGCCACCAGAGGGTCCCCTTGGAGAGGGGCTGGAGCCAGAACCGAGGGGCACAAAATGTTCCCAGATGTTCTCCAGGGGTGGCAGAAGCTCCTGACGGAGCCAGATGGGATTTGGCTTTTCTTTAAGCTCAGTTTTTGGGAGGAGCACCCAGCAATTTGTGGGCAGGTGCCTGGCTGGGAAGGCAGAGCCAGCCCCAGCTCCTGCCCTGCCTCCCTCCCAGCGGGGGTTTCATTTTGGGAATAAAAAAAATGGAGGTTTTTCCATTTTGGGAATAAAAAAATGGAGGCTTTTCCTGGAATCTCGAAATGAGAGGCTGGGTTATGTTCCCCCTCTCAGGGGGAAACACCCTCGGGGATCTGGGAGCTCTTTTTGGAAACATCCCTCGCTTTGTGCCGAGCTCTGTGGATTCCCGAGGGATCCACACGGGATGTGCTGCCCGGACACCCCTTGGGATGTCACCACCTTATCCCAAAGCCATCCCAGCCCCCAGCTCTCGCTCCCAGCAGGATGAGAAAAGCTGCTGAGCGCTCAGGGAAGGGCAGATTAAAATAATCCCGGGGATCCCTCCCGGCCCCGGTTGTTTCCTGGACAAGGTGGATAATCCCCCCTGGCACGTGCTCCAGGTGTGCTCTGCCCACGTGCCCTCCCTGGGGGCGCCAGGATGAGCTGGGGCATCCCAGACCTCTCCCAAACCCTGGGAATGCAGTGGCTGGGGAGGATTTTGGGATGGAGCTCCTGGAAAGGAGCAGGATGCTGCCAGCAGCACCCGGAGCTTGGCTTAAACTGGTTTGCAGCGAGCTGAGGAGCAGCTCTGCCCTCTTGGTGGGGAGCAAAAACCATCTCCAAGTCCAAATCCGGGAGCTGCATTTTCCCTGGATTTTCCAGGCTGGGACAGGCTGGGGGTGGGAGATGCTCAGGGGGAGAATGAAGCTGGAACAAGCAGAGCAGGTCTGGGTGATCTGGACCAGCCCAAGGGACAACCCAGCAGGAGCTCGAGGCCTGGGAATCACAGGAATCTGGGAATATTGTCGAAATATTCCCAGGAAAACCAGGCAGCGTCAGGGAATTGGTTTTCCATTGTGTCCCTGAGAGCTCCCAGCCATTCCCTGCCTGCTTCTGGCCAGGATTGTTCAGAGCAGCAACGATCACTGAGTTGCTTTTCCATGTCACCATTTCCCAGCAAATTTGATCCATTTGATGCAAGGTGGGATCAAAATGAGCCAAGTTCTCCTCCCTGTCATGACAAGGACGATTTTCCTAGAAATAAATATATGCAAGGGAAAGAAACAGCCCCAAATCGGGTGTGTTTTCATGGAGATGGATCTCAACCAAAGGATTTTTCCATCAAGTCTCAGTTTCCAGGAAAACCACGGGGCTCTGAAAGGATTCAGGAATGACTCCTGCTCGTGTTTCCTGCGGGGGATTGGGATGAACAGCCCCGATCCCAAAATCTGCCACATCAAAACCCCGGGAATGGCCACTCTGCTATTCTGGTTTCTCCCTCAGGCAAAAATTCCTCCTCCCGGGAGATCAATTTTTCAGCCCAGCTCCAGTGGGAAAAAAACATCAAAACATCCCCATTTCCCACAAGGCAGCAATTTCTTTTCCCAATCCTACTTAGGAAAACCTTGAGTTCAAAAAAACAAAGTGAATATGGAACGCAGGTCTCCTCCCCCTTTATTTAAAGATTTTCTTTGTGTGCACACAGAGCTCAAGTTCCCTTTTTTTTGTCTCTCTGTCATTTCCTCTTCCAGAGGCTGTTGGAATGAGGAACAGGACCCTGAAAAAAATGTCAAAATACCGTTTTTGCCTTCCCTTTCTTCAGGAAGGAGGGAGGGAGAACCTGGCTTGAAAGTTCTGCTGGCCCCAGAGCCCTCCCTGCTCTCCAGGAAGGGGCTGCAAACTTCCCTCCCACACGGATCCCAAACAGGAACGGCCCCTCGGGGAGGAGATCCCGCAGCTCCTGCTCCAGGAGCTTCACTGGGAATGGGGATGGAGGGGGGAAAAGGGATGGGTGGTGGGAATAGGGGTGGAATAGCTGGGAATGTGGATACAGGGATGGTGGGAACAGGGATGGGTGCTGGGAGCAGGAAAGGAGGGTGAGAACAGGGATGGAATACGGGAACAGGGATGGGTGGAGGAGCAGGAATGGAGGGTGGGAACAGGGATGGAGGGTGGGTGCCAGAGATGGCTGATGGGTGCCTTGGACAGATGGTGGAAGTCATGGATGGGTGGTGGGTGCCAGGGACGGGCGGTGGGTGCCAGGGATGGGTGGTGGGTGCCAGGGATGGGCGGTGGGTGCCAGGGATGGGCGGTGGGTGCCAGGGACGGGTGGCAGAGCACCAGGGGACAGGCAGAGGCAGCACACAGGGACATCAGGGTCACCTCCCCTGCAGGCTGGGGCCGTGTGCCAGGGCTGGGCTTGGGGATGTGCAGGGCCAGGAGGGGCAGAGCAGGGCACGGAGCTCCCATAACTCGGTGTTCCTCCCTTCCTTGTCCTCTTGGAACATCAGCCATCGTCCCCTGCCCTGTGCCAGTTGGGCACACGGCCACCCTGGGCTGTCCCTTCATTCCACACTGCCCAGTGGGGGAGAGCAGCAGCAGCTCCAGCCCCGGGAGGGCCCGGAGAGCCGGGATTGGAGACAGGAGAGCAACCAAAATGGCCAAAATTCCCTTTGCTGGGTGAAGCCGTGGCCTGACCACCACCAGAACATTCCAACCTCATCCCTGCCATTCCCAAGAAAAAACGAAGGGACTTTGTGGCTGACAAGGCTCCAAGGATTTGGAGAGCTGTGTGAGCATTTTACAGCCCCGAGCACATCCAGCCTTCCCCGCTCCCCCCCACCTCCCTCACAGAACATCTGCCCCTCCCACCCTCCCCAAAATCCCCCCCAAAATCCCCCCCTCCAGAGCCGCGGCGCTGTCTCAGCTCGGAGCTGCGAGCACAGGGGGAGCCTCTGCCCTTCCCAAGCTCTGCCAGTCTCAGCCTAAGCCGCTTACGGGGCTCCTGCCAATCCAGCCGTGCTGCCAGGCTGATTTCCCAGCCCCCATCCCCTCCCCGGCTCTGCTTCCCACCTTTCCCGTGTCTTCATCCCGAGGATTCCCTCTCCCAGCTCCCCCCCATGGCAGGTCCCAGATGGACAGAGAGCCCAGTCCAGCGTCCCAGCCCATCCAGCTGCAGGAATTCCAGCCTGGAGCAGCGTCCCAGCCCTCCCACCCCAGCCCACGTCCACAGCAGTGTCCGAGTCCACACATCCAGGGAGGGTTGCAGAAGCCGGAGAGAGGGAGGAAGGTTGGTGGTCAGCAGGAAGAGCTGGGCGGGTTCACCGTGGAGCAAGGAGGAGGGAAACAAAACCCCAAGAACCAACTGAAAAAGGAGGCACGGGGAGGACGCCGGGATTCGGGGACGGATCTCTACCTTCTAGGCCACAGCCAGCACGGGACAGGAAAGGGACAATCGGTGCTTGGTTGGTTGGTGGAGGGTCGGTTTTGTGTGTCACTCACGATAGAAAACATATTCGGTGTAAGAGGTCCAGATCCTGTCGTCCGTCTGCTCGTGGGCGAAGGCACAGGTGCCCGTGGAGTTGCAGGCCACCATGTGGAAGCCGGCATCGGCCAGTTTGTCGAAGGCTTGCTCCAGGAAGGTGAATTTGAGGTAGTACCTGGACGTGTACCTCTCCGGGGGCCTGTCGGGGTCCCTGCTCTCGTTCAAGGTGTCCCCAAAAACCTCCTTGGCCAGCGAGGTCTTGCCGCACACCATGATCCGAGCCACCCTGCGGAACTTGGCGTCCGTCTGGCTGTCCCTGCCCAGCGTGTAGGAGCCTCGGTAGCCGATGGTGATGAACCCGGCCCGTCTCCCCTCGGCACCGCTGGCACCGCTGGCACCGCTGGCACCGCCGGCACCGCCGGGCAGCGCGGCGCCCGCCCCCAAGCTGCGAGCGGTGTCGGTGCCGGGGGACGGCTCCTCGGGGTCGCTCTGGCACGGATCATCCCCCAGCGAGTTCTGCTCGCTGAGTTTGGGCGCCAGCAGCTTCACCAGCTCGGGCAGCATGAAGTACTCGGCCTCACGCTGCAGCCGGCCGCGCTCCGGGAAGTGCTCGGGCAGCACCAGCTGCCGGTCCCGCATGAAATCCAGGATGTAGCGGAACAAAAACCCGTCCCTGTCCACGAAGAAGCGGCCCTTGCTGTCGCGGGCCAGCGAGCGCGAGTTTTTCTGGGTGAACATCTGCCAGAGCAGCGAGCCGGGCACGCTGAGCAGCGTGGGGTGCCGGGTGATGTACACCTGTCCCCCCACGTTCAGCTCGATGATGTCGGGGAACGGGGCGCTGTCCTCGCTGGCACAGCCCGCGGGGTCTGCCAGGGCCATGGCGAGGTCCCGCTGCTCCCACCTGCGGCACAGAAAAGGTTAAAATTGTGTGAAAACGGGCAGGGAAACACGGCCCAGCGCTCCGATCCCAGAGGAATGCAGGAGATCCCAAAGAGTCCCAATCCCAACAGACTGCAGGGGATCCCAAAGAGCCCCAATCCCAACAGACTGCAGGGGATCCCAAAGACCCCCAATCTCAAATGATTGGAGAGGATCTCATGGGGTCCCAAACCCAAATGATTGGAAATGATCCCAAGGGGCTCCAAACCATTGCCCTAATCCCAAATTATTGGAGGGGATCTCAAGAGTTCCCAAACCATTGCCCCAATCCCAGCTGACTGCGGGGGATTCCAAGGGGTTCCAAGCCCTTGCCCCAGTCCCAAATGACTGGAGAGGATCCCAAGGACCCCAATTCCAAATAATTGGAGGGGATCCCAAGGAGTCCCAAGCCATTGCCCCAATCCCAACTGACTGCAGAGGATCCCAAGGGGCTCCAAGCCATTGCCCCAGTCCCAAGTGATTGGAAACAATTCCAAGCCAGATCACACGTGGAATCACGGAATTGTTTAGGTTGGAAAAGCTCTCTAAGATCATGGAGTCCAACCCAGCACTGCCAAGCCACCCCTAAAAGCCTGGTTTGGGTGAGCAGGCAGGGCAGGAGCAGGTCCTTGTCTCTCCAGGAGTCTGGAAGTGATCTCTGTTCCCCAATCCCGGCTCTTGGAGCAGGCAGCGTTATCCAAAGCCACCTCCCCTTCCATGCTCTGACTGTGCCACCTGAGCCCTCCACACTGCACCGGCACTCGGCCCCGCTGCCCAGGAAGGTGCGGGGCCGTGGGGCTGCTGTCAACAACAGGAAAGGCAGGGCTGTCACACCCTGGGGACATCCTGGGGACATCCTGCGGGCAGGAGCAGCTGCCAAGGGAGGAGCTCCCGGCGCAGAGCCGGGGCTGGAGGGGCTGTGGTGCACGCAAGGAGCACCCCGGGGCTGGGGAAAAGGGACAGAGGGACAGAGGGACAGAGGGACAGAGGGACAGAGGGACAGAGCCTTTTGGCACTCCTGCTCTGCCCTTGCTCCTGGAAAGTGCTCAGCGCGGACTCGCCGCCAAGCTGGGAGGCGGCAGAACCTCTCCAAGGGTTGGGACCGAGATAAATCCTGGGCTGCTGCTGCAGCCCCGGGGCAGACGCCACGGATTTTTACATTTTCCAAAGGCGAGCCGGTTCTTGGATGTCTCTTGACACTGCAAATCAGCAGCTTACATAAACCTGGCTCAGCAGCCCGAGCCTGGATCCGTGCCGTGCTCTGGGCGGGCATTTGGGAGATCACGGAGGGAAGGGGTTCCCTGGGCGGACCCCCGGCTCTGGGGGTGATCTGGGGTCCGCTCGGAGGTTGGGACCCCCCCCCCGGCACTGGTCGCACACCCGAGGAACAGCCCAAAGGATTCCCAAAAGCCGCTCCGAAAGATCCCAACACAAATTTCGGGGCAGCTAAAGGACAAAGACAGAACTCTGCGGGCAGTTTTGGGCACGGGGCTGAGCTAAGCCAGCGTTCCACGGCCACACTCCTCCTCCTCCTCCTCTTCCTCCTCCTCCTCCTCCCGGCTCCCAGCGAGAATCTTTGAACAAGGAGCGACTTGGGCGAGGAGGAGACGGAAGGATGGGAAGAGGATCAGCGCGGTCCCGGCTCCCCAGTCCCCTCCCGGCTCCCTTTCCCTGGCGATTCCATGCCCAGAGGGGCTCGCATCCCTTTGTCACGGCTGGAGGGGGGACAGAGCAGAGCAGCCCCGCTGTGGCGGTGACAGAGCGGTGACAGAGCGGGGACAGAGCGGTGACAGAGCGGGGACAGAGCGGGGACAGCGCGGTTGTCGCAGCCGTTCCAGCTCTCCCCGGCCGGGGGATCCCGACCCCGCCGCCCCCGTTACCTCGGTCCGTGCTGCTCCGGTCCGGTCCGTGCCGGTCCCGTCCGTGCCGGTCCCCGCCGCTGCTCTCCGCCCGCTCGGCTCTGGCTCCGCTGTTTTATGGTCGGGAAGGCGGCGAGCGCCGTCCCCCGCTGTCCCCGGGACCGCCTTCCCCCCGCCTTCCCCCCGCCTCCATCCGAGCGGCTCCCACCCTCCCCGCATCTCCCTGTCCTCACATCCCTGTCCCCGTATCCCTGTCCCCACATCCCTGTCCTCACATCGCTGTCCCCATATCCTCTGTTCCTGCATCCCTGTCCTCACATTCTCCATCCCCACATCCCTGTCCCCACATCCTTGTCCCCGCATCTCCCGTGCCTGCATCCCTGTTCCCACATCCCTACATCCCACAACCTTTCATGCGCAGGGTTTTCCTCTCTGGGGTTAATTAAAATCCCACTGTGGGGTTTGGGGTGAGAAGAGCTTCAGGGGCTCTCAGCCTTGAATCGCTGACCCCGTGCAGGCTCCCAGATTCCCATAAATCCGCTGGGAACTCCCCCCAGCATCCCTAAACCGCATCCTCCCCTCACCCTCTGTCCCCGCATCTCCGTCCCTGCATCCCTGTCCCCACATCCCTGTCCCCGCATCCTTGCCGCTCTGGTACCCGTTGGGATCTCCAGGGAATTCCAGGAGCACCCTCGCCATCACCTGGGAACGCAGCAGGGCTTGTAAAAAAGGAGGGAGAGGGATTTCTAACACGGTGCCAGGACAAGGGGAGCGGTTTTAAACTAAAAAAATGAGGATTTAGGTGGGATATTGGGAATTAATTTCTCCCTGTGAGGGTGGGCAGGCCCTGGCACAGGTGCCCAGAGCAGCTGTGGCTGCCCCTGGATCCCTGGAAGTGTCCAAGGATGGACATTGGAACACCGTGGGATGGTGGAAGGTGCTCCTGCTCATGGCTGGGGGTGGGATGGGAAGAGCTTTGAGGTCCCTTCCAACCCAAACCACTCCGTGATTCCATAATTCCAAATCCAGCCGGCAAAAACCTTACAGCAGCCGAAGTCTTGCTATTCCTTGGATGATTTTTTATGGCTGAGGGGACTGGAGGGACTGAAATCCCCTTTCCCAAGGTAGGAACGACACCAGTGGGATCATAAAGAGCTCAGGTTTATCCAGGCTGCAAAAAGCAAACAAGGAAAGAGAACCCAGCTCCTTTTTGTTTACTTGAAAATTCTGATTTTCTGTAAAGCCAGGAAAATATGACAACTCCAAACAACATCCTAATATTTACACTTTTCCTGGAAGTCTGATGATGCTTAAATCCCAACATTCTCTGACAGCAGAGCTGGCCTGAGTTCACCCACGAATTTTTGTCCCTGTTAAATTTTGTAAGAGCAGAAAATGCAATTTCTCCTTCTCCAACAAATCAAATCCCTGAGTCTGGGAACTCACAGCCGAGGAATTTTTCTGTTTGGGTTTCTCCTTGTTGTTTTCTTGTATCCCAGGGCTGTTTGATTATTTTCCCATAAATTGCAGGAACTCTGCCCTGTGGCAGACATATTTATAAATGTGAGAGAATTATAAATGAGACCAATCTGATGCATGGATGGATGGATGGATGGATGGATGGATGGATGGATGGATGGATGGATGGATGGAAATTTACTCAACAGGTACTTGAAGCATCTTTGAAACTGGTTTGAAGGAAAATTTAGCCACCATGAGCCTTTTTTGATTTTTGGGATTGGATTGAAATCCAGTGTGGTTTTGTCCCACTTTTCTGGAGGTCTGATCCAATGTAACTGCCAGCTCATCAAAGAATTCCCAAGGAATTTTTATCCTCACATGCCTGAGGCTCATGGGGACAAAAATTGCACCCAAATTGGTGACAAAATTCCCACGAGCTGATGTGGAAATCATGGGAACCATCCAGGCCAGTGCTGATGTGTCCAGAGGAAACTGGGAACGGGATCTCCAGGGAAGGAGAAGATGTTTGGCACCATGGAAGTGACCAGGGGGGGTCTGGAAACTCAGGAGAAGCTGCCAGGAGATTTTATAAAGCAACTTTTACAAGTCCCTTCCAAGAAGAGTGGAGCAGGAATTTGGGTCCTTCTCTGGCTTCTGGTGACTTTTATCCACCCCAAGAGTGGCAGATGATTCATCCCCATCCCAAGAGAAGGCAGGGAAGGGTTTGTTTGTGTCCACTCTGGGATTCCACAGGCTCTGCCATCACTTCCTGCCTGCTATTCCCATATTTTCCGAGCTTAGACACAAATCCCTTCACCTCATCCTCCTCATCCCCCTCCAGAGGGTCCCCAGCTCTGCTAAAACCCCCCTTGTGCTGCCCCAAAACTCCTCAAAAAGTCTTTAAATTCACATTTTTAAGGATTGAGAAGTGAGACACAAATTGTCTGATTTTCCCTCAGCTAACAACTCCCTTCGCCTTCCTCCAGAGGGTCCCCAGCTCTACTAAAATCCCCTTGTGCTGCCCCAAAACTCCTCAAAAGCTCCTTAAATTCACATTTTTAAGGATCCAGAAGTGTAACCTAGAAGTGAGACACGAATTGCCTGATTTTCCCTCGGCTAAAAAAAAAAAAAAGCCCAAAATATAATAAATCAATAATTATCCCATGACCCATCACGTTGTGGAGATGTTGTCCCAGATGTTGCTCTATCCATTCCTTATCTAGAGATAAAAAAGGGAATTGCCTGTGGAGGCAGGAATATCCACCAGAGGAAAAATCCCCTAATTCATGGATGTCAGAAGGGTCCACACAGAGATTTGGATTCCTCGGTGCCACGGCCGTGATTCACGAGCCAGGACTGGAGGCAGGAATTTTTCATCCTTAAACAAAGTGGAGCTCAAAAGTCCTAAAAAGGCAACAGAATCCCTGAGTGCCAGACTCCTGTGGGGCACGGAATTATTTTTAGGACATTTGGGGCACTGCATTATTTTTACATGTTTAGGGCACTGAATTCTTCTTAAGACATTTTGGGGCACTGAATTATTTTTATGGGTTTGGGGCACTGAATTCTTCTTAAGACATTTTGGGGCACTGAATTATTTTTATAAATTTTGGCACTGCATTATTCTTAAGACATTTGGGGCACTGAAATCTTTTTGCAGGTTTAGGGCACTGAATTATTTTTAAGACATTTGGGGCATTGAATTATTTTTAATCCCTTTTAATCCCTTCAGGGTGGCTGTGTGTCCATGAGTAGGAAAATCCCCCTTTGCAGCATCCCTGCTCCTGCTGGTGCTCCCAGCTCTCTTTCTCTTCCCCATCCTCATTCCTCCTTCATGTGCAGGGATGATTAATTGTAATTTTAATTAAAATCCCACTGTGGGGTTTGGAGTGAGAGGAGCTTCAGGAGCTCTCAGCCTTGAATCGCTGACGCTGTACAGGCTCCCAAAATCCCATAAATCCGCAGGAAAATCCCCCCAGCATCCTTAAACCTCATTTTTTCCTCTTTTCCTTCACCTCCCTCTGCCCAGATCCATGGGGAACACGGAGCTCTGAGCACCTGAGGTTGAAGAAAAGTGACAGAAGTGATCCCTGCGCTCTCCCTGCATCTCCCCCAGGATCCTGGAAGCTCCAGATCCCGCAGGAAGGGGTTAATCCCGCCCTGCCTGGCTCTCAGGTGTCGGGACACACCCGTCTGACCCCGCAGACTCCTTCAATAATTCAGCAGCACGTCTGATCTGGGCCGGTGTTAGCGGCGGCTGTGACAGATGGGGTTGGACACGGCAGGGAAAAGGCTCTGCTCAGTGGGGTGATTTAATTGGCTGCTCATTAAAGGAGCTCAGCCAGGCCCTGGAGAGAGCAGGAAAGGGAGGACAGGGATGAAAACCCTTCCCAAAGGAGCCAGGGCTTGGTGGCATCACCATGAGAGGATTCTCTGGGATGCTCTGATGGGACCAGAATTGTCACCACAGAAATGGGAATGAGGTCAGGGACCTGCTTCCATCCCGGGTGGGAATTGCCAAGAGAAAAAAAT